AAAACCGACCAGAACTGATCCAGAGAGACATAAAGCTAGAGTCCAAGATAGGGTAAGCGATTTTTTAGAACATCTGGATCGATGGCAGAATGACCAGAAGAAATGTATTGGAGCGAAGTTTTGAGAATCACAGACCGCAGAATTTCATGGCAGAGTCTTGAAGGTACCATCATCCTGCAATGGCTCGAAAAAGGCTGTTGACGAGACATTATTTAAATCGAATTAAATTTTTTCCATTTTTAGCACTCAGAAACCTTAAGCAACAAAAATGCTTTGTTTTCTTTCATTTATTTATTTATTTAAATAATAGATTTTCATTATTTCTAGCTCGGTCCAATCTATAGTTTCAGCCCTGGATAAGTTAGAGTGCATATTTCTAGTTTAAGAATTGAAGTTTTCAGAACTTTCGCGTACTTTGTCAGAGGATTTTTAGAGGTATTGATTGCTGATAGCAACTACATTGCACAAGCTAACAAACAGCTGATTGATTGATTGATTGAGTAGTACCAAATCTTTCGAACGCGTTCCTGTCTAATTGAACTTTTTACTCTCAGCGACAGTGCATGATCCAGTTGCTACCGGCTTCTCAGTCACGTCACCAGAGTGAATGAAGGTATTCGCGGAAACTGTTTCTTGTTGATATCCATTCTAATCTGGAACTGATATCACACTTCTCTGTGACATCGTCCGTTCAGTTGCCAGGAAAACAACCGTTCACAAGTCAAATATATCTACGGGCCACCCCTGACCGATGATCTTCGAATACAATTCTTATTGGCGCAACGATCTGTTGTCGACTTCCTGACAATCATATTCATCGCTATCATGAATATAGTAATGATCATGATGAGATGGATGAATAGGAGGATAAGGACGGCATTGATGATCACAAACGTGACCGTAAGTCATGTAGCCTCTGAGATCTTCACATAATAGCACTCTGCTGTCCAAGCTATTGTCTTTTTATTTTTCATCTGTATCACAAGGTCGGCTATCAGAGGACAAAGTTCGTCGTCGCCGTAACACTCACGTCGGATAGCTTGGTCATACTAAGACCTTATTTTATTGAATTAACGGCTTGTAAAATAAATTTACTCTGACCATAAATTGTAGCCGATGTTTCTGACATATGAGGCTGAACGACTTCTCACTTCTGTACTGCCCCTTAGTTTGTAGCTAATCGTCTTACTAGCTTATTTAAAGAATTATATCTTGAATAGCTAAAGAAAGACAGTTTGCTAAAGATTGCCACGCAGTTAGTCTGTTACCTCAGGTATTGAATGTGAACATCAATTTTTATACATGAGTACTGAACGGATGGCCAAGCAGTGCTTCTCCGTCCAGGCCAAGCAGTTGGATAATGTTGCCAAGCAGTACTTCTCCGTTCCAAAGTATTTTCATGAAGAGGATCCCATAGACACGTGACTGATCATAAATGCTTCCCAAATGAATTGGGATCAATTATATGTTGAGGAGTCGCGGTGTCTTATTGCTTATGAATGTAGCTTATCAATTAAAACGTACTCTGCCGGTAATATGCCAGTTTTCTGTTCTAATAAAAAATCTTCTGATAAATTTGTTGTAAGATAGAGCACTGTGTCGATGACCAAAGGTCGACATGGCATTCATGGCTAAAGAGCAGTGACTGTCCAGATTAGTCGTAGACGGCAGGACTGTCCAGATATGTGATAGATTTTTGATGTCTTCTGCAGTTTCACATACATAAGCTATCAATGATTTGCTTGAATATTACACCAGAAGTCACTTTTTGAGATGTTTTTCAATTTTCTGCCAAAAGTATCAAATACCGTTCTGTTTCGCGCTTTGCTTTACTAATTTAGAAAATTGTTCCTAGTTGAAGTGGTTTTTTTACAGGGTTTGGCAACTTTCACTAGGAACAATGTATTATGTTGTTAAAAATTATGAATTTTAATTTCAGGGAACGAGTATCTGTCTCAACTCTTAACATCAGTTACCAATCCGCAACTGTATGGAGATGAACGAGATGGTGTGATTGCCCGTTTGAATCAGATTCAAGCGTTCTGTGGAACTGGAATCGGCTATTACGCACCAAACGTGATTCCCATCGCCTATACTGCAGAAAACCCATTCTGTAGATTTAAGGTATGTTTATAAAAAGCAATAGTGTATATTTTTTGCATTAATATTTGTATATAATTCTTTGGTAAGTCACAGACGGGAAGACCACGTATAAATGTTCTTTAATTAGAGACATCTGACGTTTCGGACCAAACTCGGTCTGTCTTCAGAGTACATCTTCCGGAATGGTCTCTGGCAGTAATTGTATTTAAATGATCCAATATCAATCAGCTGGACAGAGTTTGGTCCTTGTGTAGCGATATCTAGCAGAAGCGAGTAGAAAGTTTGTGCCTTATGCTGTTCGCTTCACTTGACTCGCTGTTGCGAAACGCGATACAATCACCTCGCCACATTTAAAGATTGGCATTCAGCAACTTTTGCGAGTTCGTTCCAAGTAGAGGCCTACTTAATCCCCTATTGGTGCAGTTGAGAAGCGTGTCACTGCGTTTTAGAGTTAATAGATAGTTAGCAAATATCGGGTAAGAAAGTAACTAGCCTTGAGTGACAGGTTTTTTGGGGCGACAGTCATGTTAAAGTATGGTCACCAGGCCAATGCATGAATTACATGGGCGTTTAGTTTTTTTTAAATGAAAGTTTCGGTGGTCATACTGCAAAACAGCATAAAACACTGTTTATTATTAACATAACGCTAACACTATGGTCAGTGGGATGATTGATCCACTCGACTTTTTGGTCGTGTCTCACTAACTTTCTTTATGGTAGAAAGGTTGTTGGCTTCTTAGGCCTTTTTTCTCTCTTTTGTCATTCGTAGGTTCGAAGCACTTCGTCGCTTTGTCGCCAATGAACTGCTTAACCAGCAACACAGACCAAAGATCAAAGCTCGCCTTCTGGCTTAGAATTTATGAACTGCTTTGAAAGACGAAAGAACCTCTGAAGCCAACCTACCTCTTTACCATGGATAAGGCCAGTGAGACACGAGCCGAAACGTTGGTACTGGTCAGTCATCCTGTTTGCCAATTTGTTTCCACTGTATTGTGCTGTAGAACCAGCAGCGCACCAAAGAAATACTGAATAATTATGATAATAATGTTGATAATCACAATAAATTGAGCTTGATTGATCTGAAATCACGCATAGACTTGTCGGAAGATTGAACATACTTCCTTCGGTTTCTTGACACCTGCAACCGTGGTATTAACAAAAGGAACGGTTCGATTTTGAAGAGTTAATGATATTAAGGATTAAAAACAGACTGGTCTGAGTGAAGTTGGCCACCAAATTTTGAGAAGTCACTTCTGACTCCCGATGCGGAAAATGTTAAAGTTAAATCTGTGATTTAATCTACGTTTAAACCTATAATGTATTAATACGGATTTAGGGTGCTTTTGACCTGGTTGCTTTTGCCATCTTGAATAGAGAGTGGTAAGAATTATTCACTCATTCAAGGAGGCATGCCCAGCTGTTGATTACTTTCCGTTTCTTATGTTCATAGTGTTTAGTTCGTTGGCTTTAATCGCCTGGCTGAAATCAAGGATGAAGACGGTCTCGTGAGTCTGATAATCAAGAAGTCGGCAAATGATGTCAGCAAAAACCGCCAATTGCTTTGCGACTGTGTGTACAAGATTATGGGCGCCAAACCCCAGATATCTGTCCAAATAGAACTTCTGAAGCCGTTGCCGGATGATAGGTAAATTTAGCCTTTGTATGTAACGAATCAGCCAGTCAATTAATGGCAGGAGAAAGGAGATAAATGAGCAATAATAAGAAAAATTGACACCACAAACAAATATATTTGTACTTTACTATCTCCTAAATAAGCAGTATGCAGTCAGGTGTTCTTGTAGTTTCTGTAGGAGAAAAGAAGCAAGAGAAACGACAACACTGAGCGTCATTATTGCTCTACTTATGATAGGTAGTCATTCAGCAAATTTCCAAAGGCTCAGAAGCTGCTAGTTGTTTGCGAACTTCGTTGCATGCGTTGATTCTTTCTAGATGACATCCGTTGATTCTTTCCAGACGACCAGCTGTTCTAATCGCTTTCTTTATTAGGGGCCAAAGCTACAGAGTCAGCGCGTCGATTCGATTATCAGCTTAGTTGTGTAGATGCTAGCAGTAAAATCTTATTTAGTATCAACTTTACGTAAGAGGACGTAACGACGAAAAAAAATATTTGCACCGCGGCGGGGCATAGCGCAGGATTGGATGTTTCTATCGACATTGCAGTAGTCTTGATTATGTGCAATAAACAGAGGAATTGTCTACTTACTCGTCCAGAATATTTACCTTGAAGAAGGTTGGTGGTTGTTTATTGCTTAACTGGAATCATTGAGCAACATTTGAATCTGCATAAACAAATTATTCACAATTTATAATTGATTGAAACTTATATTCTAAAGATGTCACATGCCTTGAGGCTAAAAAGCAAGTGAGTGGCCATGTAATTCAAGTATTTCGGACACTTTGAATTGCCGGTCCTTTAAATTCAGCTTAAATCAAATTCAGCTTTTATCAAATTGTCGGCGATTTATCAGAATTATTGAAAAACATGGTTGCCCTGTGACCTAGACTGAATAGTCAGCTGTGAAACTGAAAGTAAAAGAAAGTTCTGGCCAGAATTAATTCTTTTTATCGTAGTTTCGTGTTTGCTTATTGTGGTCATTACCTTGAACCGATTTCTGTTTACTTAAGCAGAAAGTCACTGGCTTGTGGTATCCGTTGTATTTGCACCTTTTCAACACTTTTGCTATTAGGTACCAGTTACTGCTTCGTAGAAGGAGCAGTTATTCTTCCAATGCAAATTCTCCCTTTATTACCTCATGTTGCTTGCTGGCCTTATGTTCGACGCCTCATGTTTTGTCTCCCACACAAGAAGTTCTTCTGCTGGGATAAATGTTTTCTACCTGAATGGTTTGCCTAGCAATGCCAGTCTCCTTTCTTAATCTCCTTATCTACCAAAGTCACATGTACCCGGAAGAGAACAAACGCATTCCTTACGTGGTCCTGCCGTTTATCCCTCCTTATGCGTTATCCCTCGAAATTAACGCTTCTGTGCGCAATTCAGCTGTCGTTCTTGCTCTTTAGTTGAAACAACTGTCTCCATGCCATACAATAACAGTGACCTAATAGAGGCAAGGTACAGACATACTTTTGTTGAAAAAGATCCTCATTTCATCACCAAAATATTGCGGATGTTTCCAGACACATTGAGGCTAAGGTTTTCTCCTATTTACTTGTAGTATGAGAGTGCCGTCGCTGGAGATGATGGAACCAAGATACTTAAATTTATTAATCTCCTGAACTGCGTCATTTCTCTTATTGTTTGTATTTAATAGTCTGCCTTGCTCTCGTATGCAGTATATTAATGTTTGCTGAAAGCAGCGTCTTCCTGTACAGCATTAATGACTGCCAATACTGAACTGTCGTAGTTGACTGGCACATAATATACAAAGAAATTTTAATATTAACTAGGGCCAATAGCAAAGTGGATTAATAATTTTCTTTCCTCTTTCGAAACACCGGACTCAGATCTCAGCTGGGTGAAAACTTTATTTTCATAACTTCAACCGCCATGTGCAAAGTACCTCGTTGTGTTCATTAATGCAACCGGCTGAGAAACAAATTACAAGTCGATGGTCTGCAAATAATAGGAGTAACATGATGTGATGTGGTTATGCTTAATCGTGAGAGCCATACAGTCGTGCATTTCTAATGCGCGCGCCTCACGGTTACGATTCACCTTGATTCATTTGATAGCTGGAAGGTTGACTAGAATTGGCATATGATGTAAGCCTTAAATTTAAAGAAAAATTATATAACGCTTAGTTGCTTTACATTCTTTGATCATGCGTGCTGAATCAGTGTTTCTGGACTTGCGATAGATCTCGGTTCTAACAGGTACATTAACATATCTGGATCGACTATTGCACTCCAGGAGAAGCATTTTCAAGATTGCAATGCGGATAATGATTGTTTTATTCAGTATCCAATTTTCTGTACGAATATCATGTGCGGTTTTTGACTTGGCGGCAGCAGTGCAAAGTTATTTAATGAAAGACCATTAATTCTATTGGTAAGAGTTACTATTCCTTATTTGGCTTCCTAATAGCCTAGAAAAAACTATAGCAGCATCGTAGCTGTCAAGAGGTAAAGTTTTTAGAAAGAAAATGCTTCTAATCCTGTTTTGCAACAGGTAGCTTCTTTATCTACATAAAAGATTACTTCAATCATCGATTTTCTCAAGCCAAATACGCTGGTTAATACGATTACTTGTCAGCTGATGACGAACTCATAATCACCAAATGTTCTGTTACTCCATTTACTGCATCATCACAGGTGTTCCGGGTTATTGCAGAGAGAACATTGACTCTCTATGCTCTTAGTGCTGCGAAACATACAGATTAACTTCTTTCTTTTATGCGCGCTTGGTGAGACATTCATGCCTCTCCTTATAGTTATCAAACGGCTGTGTCTAAGAGAATAAGTACTCTAGCATCTCACCTGACGGAATGATCAGGGACGATCCTCCATATTTATCCCCAAGGAATGCAATTTTTTGCCATTTAGCCTCAGAACATAGAATGATGTTCGCTGCTTTGATAAAGTGAAACTTATATGCTGTTTTTGCATAGCCAGCTAATCTAAAGACTACTGAACGCGAGTATCCTCATTCTATAAGGACAGCACTGTGCGATGTTAAACAAGTCTGCCGCGACCACGTTAAGTCTCTGAATTCAACGGTTCACATCTGCCTGCTCATGTCAGGCTTATGACTGACATTTTTAAGTGACGTTTTTCGGACCCTATTTTGCCTATTGTAGTATCCATGAATTTATCGTGAATTTTTCAAATTTGAAAGCCTGTGGCTTTGGCTTTTAAATCATTTTTAGATGCGAAACAGTCATCTTTATTGTCGAATCAAATCCCAGTACAAACGCGAAACGCCGGGTGCCCGCTTCCGAAGTGTACCAGTTTTTAAACCAGCCAACGATCAAGTCGCAGTTGCAGGCAAACGCTGCAGTCGAAGATATCGCCATAAGAGCGAATCTAAACGAAGAGAAGCTTCAAGGGTATTTGGCCGTCGCTCCTCCAGGTATGTATGAGTTTTTGAACAGTAGCAGTTCTATCTCTCTTTAGGATTCGATCCGAATATCTGGATTCAAGCACAGAAGGATAACCCAAAGCCGGGAAAGATGTTACCTTGGCCAATACAGGGTTACGACCAACTGCATTACCGACGACAGCTGCAGTTACAAGAGATTGAATTGCAAAAATGCTATTGCCAAGTATGTGTTACTTTGGTTAACATTTGTGTCCATTCGTCTCTCTTCATTCTTTTCTTCTGTTTTGTCACGTTTAGGAGATGATGGATTCTGTAGCGAAGTTCGAAAAGAGACTGTTAGCAATGCAAGCCAAGTTGCTTGAGATGCAGACAACGCAGAATACGGTATCTAATCGGCTTTTATCAGTAAGAAATTTTTGCAGGTTTCGAATTACTTAGCTTATTAATTATTCAGGTGATCCGTTCTCAGATGATGCGTTTCCGTGAGGGATATTCTTTGGATAGCACCGAAGAGGCACTGAAAACTCGCTTAGATAGAATCAACGCCTATCTGACTGGACCACTTCAGTTGAAAGTGAATTTTGTTTATTTTAATATTTTTTACACCGCAAGTAATCGATAAAACAAGGTAAAGCGATACAATTAGTTCGATGATAAACCTGTAGTCTGGCGTGTTTTAAATCGCGCCATTTGGCAGCAGCTCTGAGTAGGCCGTTTAAAGAGCTTCCATTCGGTTTTCATGTATGTCGCCGTTGCTGTGATTCGTACAGACGTCGTCGGTGTTATTTGCTAAATTTGCTTTCGTATCCGCATAAGATAATGTTTCCCATTTAATTCTCGTAATTTCTATCGCTAGGTTTTCTCACGTACTCAGTTTATGGCGGCGGAGGAGGCCAACAACATTTTGATGGTCGGTTGACAGCTCTGCTGCTCTGTTAACGCGAACATTCATTATAGACCATCGTACGTCAGACAGTACGATTATTAAGTGGCTTTGGAAATGCTACTAAGTAATCTTTGTTTCCACATCTGTATCACACGAGGTCGAATAAAGTGGCGAGAGTTTATTTATGCCTTATGTCATAGTTTTCTAGACATGTTTTACGCTTAGGTGTGTTTTTCGCCTGTCGTCCACTAAGATTTGAAGTTTTTATTAAAGATGGACCTGCTGATTTTGTTGTAACATTTTGGTTTTCAAGAACAGAATAACGGAGCTCTTGAGCCATATTAGAAGTCGACCCGAATGCCTCAGTGCCCAGCTAAAGAGTGACATTGTCGAAGAAAATTTAACGATTAACGTGAAGGTATGTTTCAACGATTTTGGCTTTAAGCTGTCATTGTTTTCTGTTTTAGTATCTGAAGGACAGCCAAGATTTTCTTGAAAAGATCACTTCCCTTCTTCAGGCTGACATAAAAGATGTGGCGGAAATGCAACGTTCGTTAAATCAGGCTGAAAGTCCGTAATTCTAGCAACGGGCAGTGTGAGTTACAGTGCCTTCAACTCAGCGTACAAACCCATTGTCCAGTCGTATCGTACGAGCCTCCTTCGAATCTATTTTACTGAAATTGAATGAAGACTTTTCATAACACGGTTTTGCCTAATTGCGTTTTTATTCCAAGTTTTTTTGACAATTTTCTCTGCCTATGGCAATGACAGTGCTGTCGTTTTGGTATCCAAAATAAAACTTCAACACGAAGTATTAAGTGAACTTCGGAAATCTGTGCCGTTTCAGTGCGACTAGGAAAAAATCAAGATCTACAATTCGATGCACATGGGCACCGACGTAGCAAAATGAGAGAATTTAAATTGGTCAACGTATTGCTTAATAAGGGTAAATGTTAAGTGGAAGCAGGCCAGTGACGTTGTGCAGTAGTATCCAGTTTAAAGTAACATTTACTAATAACTTCAGGAACTAAGATTACTTTAAACATCAGAAAGAGAGCTTTCATACATTAAAAACTAGTAGTAGAAAGTATCGTGGTTTGAACCTGACGTGCTTACACGCAGCGTCGTGTTTTAGACGATGGCGTTTTGGTCATTGTCCTCTGGAATTTTTCTCTTATACATGACATGGTAGTTTTTGGATGCTGTGAAGGCTGTCGGCAGCAAGTGGTTCGTTTTGAGTCGGTTCGTTCGTTTCCATATTGTGTTGTAGATAGTCAATCCGTTTTTGTGCAATTTTTCAGTAGGACTGTCAACTGCCAAAAGATAATTCGCTACGTACGCCATTTCACGCTGCCAAGAATATCATATACTGTTTTATTTTAGGCACAACTTAAAAGAGAATCAATCAGTCGTTGCACCACGAACTTTTGACGTTGTACAGTGTCTCACGGAATTTTTTCCAAGCTAAGATATGGGCAAAGTTCACAGGTAGATGCCATCGTAAGTTTGGAGCTGAGAAGCGAGCTTTCGATCCGTACTTCCGGTTATATAATTTAGCAACAAGACTCATCCGATCCACGTACAGTTGACACTGGACTGAATGATTAATGCCTCTTTGTCGAGTCTGACATGAAATTCACACCACTGCGCTTCGGTGCACAACGACGTAAAAACGGGTAGGAAGTTGCTGAATGGGAACAGACAGTGTAGACATGATGCACCCATGTAATAAATAGCAACACTTAGGATAATGCTGCTTTATAAAAGTCTGAAAGTTTACTGCTTGATGGAAGTTAACTCCATTTTTCAGCATTTGCAAAAATACACGATTATAATAGTTAATGGTTGCACACACCGAATAAATAACAGTACTATTTTAGATTGAGCGTACGGATGTAGCGACCGTCCCTTTTTCGATGTTGAGCGTCACGCTAGATTGCAGTTTCTGACACCTTCCTGAAAACTTGGGAGGATGTTTCATAGCGGCTTTTCTGAGAATTCTGAGAGATTCATTGGAATAATGCAACCTGCCAATCATTTACTGATGAAGAGGAGATACTGTGTCATATTTCCCGACAGAAAAGCATAATAAACTAACCCAAACGTAACAAAGGAATGATAAATTGGAACAAAGAATACAAAAAGGTACATGAAAGAACTTTGAGCCAAACTGCCAGATCGAGACATGCAAAGTGCAGATTACACAAGAGCGATTACCCGTAAAAACGGAGAAACGATGCTCTGCCTACTTGTCCATGCATTTTGCATGCTTGTGATTAAATCAACGAAAGTTGTAGATCGTTGCCAAACATTCGAAGCCTTTTATTTATTATATCAACTTTAGTATTTTCATTGCTCTGCAGTATCGGCATTACAATTGTTGACTTGTGGGATGTCGCAGAGTTACGAAGTCCATTTATTTCTTGTCGTCATTTGCTACTTCTTCCTATTCTTTCTAATGTCTGATATAATCACAAGCCAATACTTTTATCTTTGTCTACTGCTTGAAATTTAATGAAGAAGGCTGTATGGCTCCGCAGTTGTCATTTTGTCCTTGACGCCTTCTGTGGCATATAGGTAGTGTCTAAGAGGTCGGCTTCGGACTGCGTAAGTACCAGGTTAACTTCCGCTTGAAGGCAGTCATTGTCTTATTCACGATTTCCCTTCAGCAAGGAATTTACAATACACTGCTTCAGACGATGGTGCGCATTCAGTGGGGCGTCAAACTCAGAACCGATGGGTCCAGGTTGGAGTCACTCAGAAGTTTCTTCTTTCCGAAGTTGATAAATGAGCACAATTCTGTCTTAAGGAAACAGGAAACGACGCACAACGCTTGTTATACGGTTCTAGACTCTGTTTTTAAAAAAGGTACTCCTGGCTAATGGCACTGAAACGGAAATCAGGGCCGTACCATTAACTTCATAAAAAGGAAGACGCCGAAATGATCCATTCATCGATGTGAAAGAAAACATTCCACCGTTTACCAAGTATCGTTTCGTCTTTTTTCAGTCGGTAAGCGATAGGTCCTGAATTTAAGCCTAAGTTTGGGTTGCTTGCCCTTCTTCCTTCCGCGGTTCATGATTGCTACTTTGTGGCATGGAAACAGAAAACTACACGCTACGCTTACCATATGGCTGTAGACTCTGCCTTAGAAAAATAAGGCATTCCTGGCTGATGGCATAAAATGGAGATCATCAGCTTGATGAAAAGAAGAATAGTAGCCAAATCACGAAAGTGAAAGAAGACCTACATTCTAACGTTGAACTACTTTCCTTCTTTTCCTCTGATGTTCTCTAATCATGAGTTTCTCAACCTTTTCCAGCGATTGCTCAGGCATACTATGACATATGCTGAATCGGTCGCATGTCGCTTCTCGTTTTAGTCATGACTGAAGAATAGAAAAATTAGTTTCCTTACTTTGTCGGGGAAAAGTTAGTTAATTTTTTTTTGATATATTCACGAGTATCTTTTCTGGCATACTCAGGTAATTTTACATTTGAGATCTCGTCAATTAGTCTGTTGCCAAGTATTATGCGCCAACAAGAGCGCTCAACATCTATGGCGTTAATTTCCCTTTTAATAAACGTCTAAGTCTCTGCGACATGCAAATGCACTGATTAAACAGTGGTGAAACGTGCACTAAACTCAAATGATCTACTGACAGTCTTATCCACAGATTTTGCGACGAAACGTTAAAGACAATTCGGGGCATCCTGATTCTTTCTTGGGTCTATTTCGTCGCTTCCGTAGCTGGTGATCAAAACAACGGAATCCGTTAGGGTAATTTCTACCCTTCCGTAAGCCTGTATGTTGTTTACTTCTTTTGAAGCATACTACGAAAGAAGCAATTTACATTTCGATGAAATCGGTCTCAGCCCGTACTTTGTGATACTTCTGCAGTTTTTTGAAATTCTTCCGACTTAGTTCCAATGATCATGATACCGTAAGCATAAATATTATTAGGCCAAAATTGGCATTAGCAACTTCTGTGCGGGTACAGTGCTTTCAAGGAAGGCTTCTCCGCACCTCTGCGGCGAACCGTTAAAAACAAAAATTGTTCTTATATGCTGCTACGTGCCATAA